GTTTGGGGGGGGGGGGTCCCTTTCTTTCTTACACACAGAGAAAAACATAAGTGATTAATCAAAACCCTTATAAGGAATGCCACTATGTAGGACAGTTTACCTACAGACCATCTACTGTTGGAGGTTGTAGATTCTCCATCTCTGAAGGTGTTTAAGAACAGGTTGGACAGCCAACTCTTGAAGATGATTTGATTGGTTTTCTTGCATATTGCAGAGGATTGGACTAGAGGGGACTTGTAGTCCCCTCCATAGAATCCATATCGATAAGATCACATCCTCTTCCTCATCATCATCTCAATCAGTCCATTCCCTGCCTTCCTGCTCAGATGACTAAATTTGGTGCAAGTGTGTTGCTGTTGTTAGGGAAGCAAAGCAGGCTCAAAAATGTATGTGGCAACTTCACAATCCATGTTATGAGCCAAGGTCATCACTGGTTGACATGACTTGGCTTGCACTCCAAGAAGAAAAGAAATTATACTGGATTGGGCATTAGAAGTCAACTGACAAAGCAAACTAGGCCATATTGAACCACACTTCCGATGGCTTCCAAAGGCAGAAGAATTCAGCCATCAACAGCTTCTTCTTCCCAACAGCTACAACAGTTTTCAAAAGAGGACTGGCCTCCAACAGAGTTCTGGAACCATCATAATAAAATCAAGCAAAATTTAAATGAAAGTGGAAGGATTTTTTTTCCTATTTTTTAAAAAAATATATACCTTCAAAACATCTTGAATATTTTAAATTGAAAGGTACTATGCCATCTTGTTGTAAATTAATCTTATATTTTCAGCTGAAATGAAAGAAAAGTGGGAAAAGCAACAGCTTTACAACTGGTTGAGACCACATGCTAAAACAGCTGGGAAGAAGATAATGTCTAGTGCTACAAACTTATTAAATTTGGCACTAGATGATCCTTGCTGGGGAAAACATTTCATCTAATGAGTCTCATCACTGTCATTGTTCTGACTGACCACCAACCTAATCTCCCAAAACAGAAGATTCTCAAGAGCTCAGAGAAAGGGACTTTTTCATCCTGACTGACAACAATTCTCTATGATTTCAGGCAAGAAGAAATCTACACTACGCTGCCAATTTGATCTTTTAATTAACTGCTGTTGATGGGGATTTGCAAGGAAAGTGGATGCCCCACCACCACTTAACTCTGATCTCCTGTCTTCATCCATGCGCCATAATCCTTGCCTTCTTCTACTGATTTATCAGAATCACATCTGGCTCCTGATCTCCCCCATCCATATATCCACATGTCCCCTGGGCTGTTGCCTTCTTGAGGACCAGCACCCTCTTTTCTAAGACACTTCACCTCCACCTAAGTCCCCAATATGCCTCTCCACTGCGTGGAAGCAGCCAAAACCAAGAGACTGGTTGCTTCACTCTTCCCTGACATTAAGACCAACTTCGGCCACCACTGAGAAGGTTTTGGTTTCTCATGTCAAAGGAGAGTTGGAGTAAAACCCAGGCCCATCATTCTATAGTCAGGAGTCTTATCAAAAAATTGCAACCTCATCAGTTATAACTTTCTTTCCTGGGAAAGCATCCAATGTCAATGTTTATATTATACTTGCAGGTTTCCTGGCTCTCACTTATCAGCTGGAAGAGAGCTGTGCAGAGTGGCTGCTGGCCAGATTGCTGCCTCTTGCTCACTCGACTGTTGCCAGCCACCAGACAGGGGAAACTGCAAAGATACTTGAGGTCCACCCAAGCAAGGCGGAAAGGTTGCTGGACTTTCCCTTGCTCCTGCAACCTCCAAATGGCTTTGATTTCTCTACAGAGCCTTCCCAAGAGAATCGTCCACCATTCTCATCTCCTAAAATTGGAAAAGAGTCAGAAAGAGGTAGCTAAAGCATTATTTTAAGAGAGGGGACAGTATTTGCAGATCTATATAGTTTAGGGAAAGGCAGACAAAAGATGTTCGTGATGGAGGAGTATAAAATGCATGGTGCATAGGAAGTAGATAGAGGGAAGTTCTTCTTGCTCTCACAGTAAGCTGACGACTGTTGGGAGACTGACAGCAAAGAAATTAGAGACATCGAAGGTGCTTCACAGTGCATTATTCTGAGGTCTCCTTTGGAGCAAAGGCCCACAAGGTGGCCAATTGGAATGGCAAGCCAGTTCAAGGAGCTAGGAGTCTTAGATGCAAGGAAACTAATTTTGGCAGGTCAGAAGGGCAGTGACTGTCATCCATCTTGGTTTGTTACTCAAAGCAGCCCCTTCATAGTGCTGAGTGGTAGGACTGTCCTAAGAAAGGCCAGTGATCTGATTCAGCAAAGTGTCGCTTTTTGTATCTCCTGCATTTGCATCTCTAGCTCTTTGCTTGTAGGACCCTTGCAGCCTAATTTTCTTTTGGTATCAACAATCCTCCAGTGAAGATAGACAAACTAAAGAGTTAACCCCTGACTTCATGCTCAGAGAAAGAGATTCCAAGATGCTACCTCCTGGCCCACCTACAGATGACGTTTCCTCCTGCTTTTCCCTCCCTGATGGCAGTTCATTAATTCTGCAGTTCCTCAGGTCAGGATTGGTCCTGCCAAATGAAGCAATAAGCAGTATTTATGAAACATGCCACAAAATGGGGATGGCATTTTACATAGTATTTTAATGCCAGCTGAAAACACAAACACAGAGACCCAAAATATTCAGCCCCAAAGTTTATCAGCTGCTGCTCTTTTGACCAGGCCTCTGGCAGTTCCAAAGTTCTGGACCACACAACCTTTTCTGAAGCAGACTACAAAAGAAAAGGTCTTGTGACTGTCAAGAAAGAGAGAAATTTGAAGATACAGGGTCAGTGAAAATATACTGCGGTTTTGATGTCTGAATTTCACATAAACTTCAGAAGGAACAATGCTCATCTCGTGTTTACAGAGCCTAAATCCTCAGAGACTGAAGTGTTGTTTTCCTCCTTCAGCAAATGTGGGAAGCTATTAATAGGAACAGTCAAATAATTCTTTCAGGACAGCTGTTGGACAGGTGATGTTTCAGCTCTTCATTCATATTTAACACTTATTTGAGCTGGCAGAACCTCCCAGGATCCTCATCAGATTAGGAAGAGAGGAAGTACCTCTGACTGAACAAGATTATCAGCCCATCTAATTCAGTCCTGATTTACTGGTTGTCCATCTCAGAGGCTTCCAATGGAGATATTTCGCAACCTTACCTGCTGAGCCTTGTAGGGGTTGAAACTGGGACCCTTACAAAGCAGGCTTCCTTTCCCTATTACAGTAACAAAGATCTGTGTTCTGCTGTCACTTCAGTTAGTTTGTTGTACTCTTGTCCCTCAATAAGGTCTACATCAGGACAAGGAGTGACCTACATTGCAGATGTCAATGAAGCATCACAAGGGAGGACAACATCTTGACTTTTCTCATTCCCTTATAAACAAGATGAACAATTCATCTATGTGTCCAGATGCAAGTCATCTCAGCTTCATGCTCACTAGAATCACCTATTCAATGAATGTGTGCAGAAGCAGTTGAGGTGAGTATGCTGAAATCACCACTAACCTCTACAAATTCAACTGAAGGTTAAAATAAAAACATGAACATGTATCATTACAGAGAGAGTTCCCTTCCTGTGACTGGGAGTATTGTTTCAGTAAACTCCCCACCCATTGTGTCAAGAGATCTATAAACACATGGACTTATTTCAACTGTGCAGAGGTTGGAAATAGAGAAAAGAAGTAGAATCGTTTCCATGCTCTTTCCATGCATTGGTCGCTACATGAAGATCGCCTAGCCATGTCCACGGATGGCATGATGCAAATGAAAGCTGCAGAACTACATAGAAAAGGTAGGGCTGTAAAGTCTGATGTGGATAAATATGATTGTGGGGGAGTGAAAAATGAAACAGGATGAGAAAGGGTGTAAAGAAGAGCTAAAGCCAACCCAACTGGTCTTGTTTTTAAAGCACTCAAAGTGGGAATACATTTATGTGGTTGTGATAGAAATGTAGAATTTTCCACCAATTGAAGTGTTCTCTGTTCTCCCTGGCCACATTTTCCCACAGCCTAATGGTGAGCAGATGTTGAGAACTTGCTTTGTCAAATTTGAAGAATAAACAACACATTAAAGTTCCCCCCCACCCGAGATGCACATCCCTGTGATATGCACAGAGAGCCCCAGAAATTCTGCCCATCCTCTCCCTTTGCTTTAGTTTCTCTAGATGAGGCCCACAGGTTGTTAAGCTTTGAAAATGAAGATGATTCCATTGCCATTCATTAAGACCTGCCTGGAGAGACAAACAGTTGAGGCTAGCAGTACTGACGCACAGAAAAGAAAATACATATCAACGTACAGTTAAGTTAATCAGGTCCCTGGCTTCAGTTTCCCTTGAATTTTGTGGTGTTGGAATGAGGCCAAGAAAACAGATAAGTTTATTGTGAAGATGGGATACCATAAAATTAACTAAATTTAAAATTAATTTGTAAAGCACACCAGGCTGAGTTAGTACAATTTTAATTCAGTTGGGAGATAGAGCTGAATAAAATTATAAAAGTGGGCTACATAGTTTATTAATATTATTTCATTCAGGTGTTGGAGCTGCAGGCCACCAAAACTTGAAAGAGTGCCAGCTAAGAGTATTTATCAGTTCCAGGGATTCAGGTGACCAAATTGAGGTAGAACTTCCAAAGTTTTCTTAATGATTCTGAACACTGTCACAGGCAGTGTGCCTGCCAAAAATTATGCTTTTCCCTCCAAGTTCTCCATTTAAGGAAAATCCCAGGGTGTAGGGAGCAGACCAGAAGAGAATGTGGCCAGATAGAGTTCTCCTAGTTCTTTGCATGGAAAGAAAAGTCAAAGAATGTGAATAGGTTGCTAAGTTGTCTTCCAAAAAATTGCAATTTGTTTATTTATAAAAAGCTTTGGATATACTGAGTCTGGGCCATTGGAAAAAAGGTGTTTCTGCAATCTTAGAAGAATCCATGGGTACCAGATTGTGAAGGTTCAGAATCTTTGCAGTGAAGAGAAGATGCAGTGAAATCTGTTGGCTTTGCACTGGCTTTGTACCAATGGAGTGGCAAGATCAGAGAATACGACTGTATATGGGTCAATTCATTGTTTAAAAAGTGAACTTTAACTATTCATATAATTTTATTTATTTATTTATTTATTTATTTATTTATTTATTTATTTATTTCCCACAGGTGTATAGCTGCCCATCTCACAGTAAAGTGACTCTAGGCAGTTTACAACAAAAACCATTGTAAAAAACTAAATGGTAAAAACTACAATTAAAAGACATCAACAATATTATTATATTATTATAATATGATATGACCACTTGGATAGAATTATGCATAACAAATCATAATTTTAATTGTACTGTATCATCATACTATTGGCTGTATTTTTTTTCCTTTGTAACCAAGTCTACTGTTTTTGCCATTTTATTTTTCCTTTTTCTTTATCTTCTGGCTTTCCCCCCCCCCCCTGTTGTTTCCTTTCCTTTCCTTTCCTGTCCTTTCCTTTCCTTTCCTTTCCTGTCCTTTCCTTTCCTTTCCTTTCCTGTCCTTTCCTTTCCTTTCCTTTCCTGTCCTTTCCTTTCCTTTCCTTTCCTGTCCTTTCCTTTCCTTTCCTTTCCTGTCCTTTCCTTTCCTTTCCTTTCCTGTCCTTTCCTTTCCTTTCCTTTCCTGTCCTTTCCTTTCCTTTCCTTTCCTGTCCTTTCCTTTCCTTTCCTTTCCTGTCCTTTCCTTTCCTTTCCTTTCCTTTCCTTTCCTTTCCTTTCCTTTCCTTTCCTTTCCTTAGTTCATTGTTTAGGTCTATGGATCCTTTTATAGTAGTTTAAGCAATGTAAAATTGATCCGTTTTGTTCTTAATTGTTCTTATTGCTATTGTATTATTACTTGTACTAGTCAAACATTCAATAAAATCATTAAAAAAAAAGACTTCTCAAGTCACAGTTGTTTCGGGGAGGGATGCTGAAAAAAATATATATCCCAAGACAGTTTCAGTGTTGGGGCTCTTTCTGCCCCAAGAACTGGGAAAGTATTTTCAAAGGGCCACGTTACTACCGCGACTGCAGGCATACATTGTTCAGCCACAAGAATTAGATCTTCGGTCAATAAACTTGATTTAATTCCCAGGTACTCTGAGCTTCTTTGGGGCAGCCATCCTTAAACTCTCGATGGATGAACAGAAGCAGCAGACGGCTGGGGAAGCAGTGATGACCGCGACTCATCCTGCTCGCTGACCTTTTTGGCAGAACATTGGTGTAAAAAAAAAAGTTTTGCTTCTTTTTTTTGATAATAATGTTATTAAATTTTAAAAAACAGAAAGATAAAAACTAACACGAGAGACTGGAAAAAAAGAATAAAGGGAAGGAAAGAAAAGGGCAGAAAAAGAAAGAAGCAGACATACAAAAAAAAGAATGATTTCCAACTTCTTCTACAGCAGATATAAGTAAAACATACACTAAACTCTTACTCTAAGATTTCAGATTAACATCCATTTTTTTCTAGAAATCTATTAATTTTACTAATCATCAAATCCATATATCATAACTTCATCTTTTTCTGTTTCCTCCAAAAAGTCCGAAAGGGGCTTCCAATTAGCATTAAAATTATCCAATGTCTTTTCTCTAATCAAAGCTGTCAATTTCACCATCTCAGCCAACTCCATCAGCTTTACAATCCAGTCTTCCATGGTAGGTAATATCGAGTCTTTCCACCTTTGATCATGTAAAAGTCTCGCTGCAGTTATCATATATAAAAACAAGGGTCCGTGAGACTTTTCCAAAAAAGGTTTTGCTTCCGATGCATCCATGGCTTTGAAAGCAATATCATATTTTGCACGGGCTGGATTTCCACCCACCCGCAGCTTCCCTGCCCCTTTTTAAAAAAAGACCTACATTAGCTTCCACAAGGCGGTAACAAGTCATTTCAATAGCCAAGCTGGCTCAAAAGCCAACACACCTTACAGAAGATAGAACTTTTTGAACTGTTTTCTTTTCGTGCAAGAAAACACCACCAGGGCATCCACCAGTCAAAAAACTCAAGATGGCCACCTCAACTACGCAATTGAAGTCCTAACTCTTTTTTCGCACACACCGTATGTGCACTGCACATTAAAAAAAAGAGATGGGGATTTGACTGCAGGGTTGTGGCCACCACCTTGACCTTTCTCTGTCTCACACACACACACACACACCCTGGAGAGGCTAGCTCATCCTCTCTTTTCCCCCTTCAGCACCACCGTTTGCTGGCCTCTCAACTAACATGCAGAATGAAATCTTCTGTTTGTGAAAGGGGGAACGTGAGATTAGATTAGCCCCATCCCTTTTGCTATTCCAAAAGGCACTCAGGACCTGGTGATGTGATCAGGCCTGGGGCGGCCAGGGAACCGGAGACCTGCTTAGATGGCCCCACTGCTGAGGGGGCCATTTTTATTCTCCCTTCCCTCCGCCCATGGTTTGTATTTTTGGTTTTTATGGTATTTATTAACGTGGTTTTATACTTTTTCTGTTGCTTTATATCTGTCGTTCCATCTAATTGTTGTACGCCACTCAGAGTCGCTTTGGTGAGATGGGCAGCTATATAAATTTGCTTAATAAATAAATATAAATAAACTCCTTGAGCTAGGAGCAGGGCCTTTTGAGCAGGCAGTAGCGAAGAGTGTGGCATGTGAGGAAAGCCAGTGCAATGGGAGGCAAGGATTACAAATGTATTCTCCTGCAGCTGAATTTTTCCCACAACACAGACTAAGTGCATGCTTTCATCTCCAGGAGATTGCCACAGACTTACAGTAAATGTCATCTCCTTTATGACACAGCTTGGGGTTTTCATAATTGGAGGCTCTCCATCCAGCCCTGAATGTTAGTTGATTAGCCTCCAATTACCTGCTTTGATTGGCAGCCTCCATCTTGGCGGACTGATCTTCCCCCAAGTAAGTCCCTCCTTCCCCAGGGGCATTCTGCCCCCAGAAATAATTCTACCAGACCACTACAGTAACGCGGACATTTTAAGCACTGCCTCAGGATGTTCCTCAGTCGGTGGAAGAAAAGGGGAAGAAAAATTTCAGCTGCACCCCAAATCCTCTGAATTTCACCCACACCTATTCAGGAAAGGGTGCTTTTTCTGGCTCCCCCCTAACAAAATACATCAGCAATCAGGGAACAGGCAACAACACAGCCACGTTGCATGCCGAATTCTCTCTCTGCCATTTCTAGTGAAAACGTCCAGGGAAGAGGTGAGTGGAAAATCTTTCTCTGCCATTGATCAGCAAAGTCAGCAGGCAACATTTTGTCAAAAGAGTTCTGCCGTGGACCAAAGACGAAGGCAACATATTTGGATGTAACTGACCCCACTGAGTACTACTACGATAAGTAACATGCATGTAGTACAGCCTTAAATTGTCTTTCCCCTTCTGCCAAAAAAAGGCATTTTTATTTGAAACATTCAGAGCTTAAAGCCCTCTGGAGCTGTTGTCAGTGGAAAGCTGGAGAACATTTCAGCTAGCAAAAGCATGTAATGATCTGTCTTAAATAATGGCATTTTATCCTCCACCAGACCAAAGAAGTAACTACTCCTCCATGGCCTGGAGAGTAATTTCTTCTTGAGGTTTTGTTGTAAAAAATAAATGCTTATGGAGAAGTCAATGTCCTAGGAACGCTGGTCCCTCAGTGTTAAAGGAAATGAGTTTTCCGCCCAGTTTCCAGACAAGATCTGTTTCTGCGAAGCAGTTCCTTGGCTTTTCTGGGGCGTGAAAATCAGCGCAAGTGCCTCTGCGTTCTCCCTTGCAAAGAAAATATGGACATGGAGATCATCATGGTAGGATTATCCTCAAGTTTATTTCATTTAAAAAACGTATACAGCCACCTATCTCATATAGCGATCCTAGGCGGTTCACAACAACTAACGAAAACAAAATAAAAACAAAACATCCCTTCCCACCAGGTGCCAGATCAACCAGACTACTAGGCTTCCGGGCTCAACCTGCATCCTAGCCCAGTGCTTGGGGGAAGGGCCAGGTCTTCATGTCCTTCCAGAAGGCCAACAAGATAGGGACCCCTTGAATCTCAGGCAGGAGGCTCTTCCGAAGGGCTGAGGTAGCCACAGAGAAGGCACGCCTACAAGGTCCCATCAGATGGCAGCATTTAAGGGAGGGGACCTGGATCTATCTGACCTAGTGGGATGGGCAAATGCCCTCAAATAACCTGGCCCTGTGCCATGTAGGGCTTTAAAGGTGATAACCAGCATCTGTCTGGAAGGGAAGTGCTGATTTATAGGAGAACAGTCTTTTGTAACGCAAAGGCTGCCAGTTGACATCCCAAACCCACATAATATATATCTTCAACAAACCATACTAACTATCAAAGGCCTTGTGCTCAGATTCAAGTTGTATATATTAAGTGGAATGTGGGGTTTTTTTCAAGGAAGCTTCTGCTCTGAGCGAGTCAGCAATGAGCCAAAATGATGGAAAGCTTTCTGGGGAGCTGGAGATAGATGGCAGGGAGAAAACTTACCAGTATGATGCCTGGAAATGGGTCTTCATGATTGATCAGGTTCTCAGGGGTAGTCACTTAGGAATAAGTAAGCCCTTTCTCCAAGGGCAGCTGATCCATGAGAATGCCCCCAATGCGGACTCCAATTTCACACGTGACCTAGAACATTGCCTGTCACTCCATCATACCTACCTACCTCAGCAATTCATCTGAAACGCTTGGAAACTGCCACTGCCATCCAACGCGGGCATCTCCAGTGCCCTCACAAGACCCTTTCGTTGTTTTTATTAGGATACAGTACGGCTCTCGGAGGTTTATTCTTCATTAATCAATTAGCAAAGACATTGCAGCAATCATTCCAAACTTGCTTTCAACACCGTGATCAGGATTTGCTGCTCATTAAGGCAACACAGATTTATATGCCAGGCTGTTAATATGTTGTATATATAATTATGTCATGGCCGGGTCAGCTAATAGCTCCCCAAATTACAGGAAACTGATTGAAATAACCTCTTTTTATTATTAAAAAACCCATACACACTGTGATTAGCAATTAATTGATTTCTGGAACAGATTTCTTTGTTTTAGTTCACTCTTATATAAAAGAAAAATCTGTCCAGAAACTGGCAGTTTCAGAACAGTGATGCTTAACAAGAATGTGTGGCTTCTGTGTGGCTTTGAATAGATGTCTTCTTAGGACCTTCTGGCAAATTAAGAGGTCCACATGCAATGGAGTTCCCACCAAATCCTTAAGTGCTGTGAAAGAAGGGCCACTGTTTCTAGGAAAGCCATTCCCAATCTGGTTTTTTAGCAAGTTTAGCTACACCAAGAATGACCCTGAGCAGCGTTTTCATGGGTAGAATTCTGAACTCCATCTTGGAGTTCAATCCTCCCATCAAAGTCTTTCTCAGAAAGTCTTTCAGAAAGATCAGAGCT